CCGCCGCCCGCACCGCTGTCGTCGCTCGGACGCACAATGTCGCCTTTGTTCAGCGGCTCCCTGCGGGCTGAGCGCTGCCACTCCTGGCCCCGCGGAGCGGTGGATAAAGTGCGGCCGGCGCCGGGCTCCGTGTGACCCCAGGCTTTGGGGGTCTCTGAGGCGGGCGGGGGTCATGGGCCTCTGCGACCGAAAGAGGGGACACTTGGTGGAGCAGACCCCAGAGCAAGAGGGACCCGCTGGGGGAGGGGGTCGCTCCCTAATGACTTTTCTCGATTTCAGAACGTGGGACCCCCAGGACCCCCTGGGCCACAAGGGCCACCGGGAAAGCCAGGCAAGGATGGCATTGATGTGAGTGTGGGGTCTGGGGAGGGCTGGGGAGGGTTCCTTGAGGCTCTAGCTCTGGTCCCAGCCTCCCTGAGCCCCCGGGCCAGATGGAGAAAAAAAACCAAGTCCCACCTCCCAGAGTTGGGCAACCACAGGGTCCGTTGTGGGATGAGAAACTGGACAAAGATGATCCTGTCCCTACTTGGGGCAGACCCCACAGGGATTGCAAATGGGGGCTGGGTCACATGGTGGTCCTGAGGCCAGAAATGTGGTGACTGAAGCATGTGTCTCTAGATCCCCTGAGGGGCCTGTGCTCTTGTATTCTGGGGTCTGGTGCCCAGGGGCTCTGTGAGGGTGTGGGGCATGTCCCTCTGGGTGGATGGAGACTGTAGTTCTTGTTGGGGGCTGGAGCTATCCTTGCAGGGGGCTCAGGGGCTCGCTCAGCCCCAGACATGGCATCCACCATGGGTGTCCCAGGCCAGGTGTGGCCCAAACAATATGGGAGGCACCTGAAATCCTGCAGTGGTGAAACCCTCCCCCATCCAGCTACCTCCAGGAAGGGCAGGGGCCCCCTCCAGGGCCTGTCCTCACCCATGGTGTTTCCTTGTGATCCCTGGGTGGGTGCAGTGGAGGGCTGTGTCAAGAGCACGCACAGCCACCCTCAGCCACCCTCCAAGTCCCCAGTGCCCATCCTGGCTGGATGGCCTGAGCCTCTCTCTGCTGCCACAGTGTTGTTGCTCAGGATGGCTACACTGGACTCTGGGCCAGGTGGCCCGGGCCCTTGGCCTGCCTGTGCTCCTCCTGTTGGGTTTGGGTACCTGGGCACCAGGGCTCGCACTTAAAACCCGGCCTCAAGGTCTCGGTTAAAGGATTTCAGGCCTAGTGACCTTCAATGGAGGGTGAGGGGAGCAGGTACCTTCCTGGAGAACATGGTTGGGGGGGTGAGCTGCCCCCTCTGAGCAGAGGCCTCTTGGCACTGGTGCCTGCAGCCTGCTTGCTAATGCTCTCAGGCAGTGCAGGGGCAGGGCTTCGTGCCCCATTCCCATCATTTCTGGGGGGTTGTGTCCCCAAATGCTATGTGGGCCCTGCACGGGCTGAGCCCCAGTCTGTCTAGTTCACCCCTTCCCCTAGTGCTGGCTGTAGAGAGGAGGGCACCTCCTAGGTGTGGACAAGGGGGCCTCGGGGTCCCACCTCTTCTCCCTGGACCAGTCCTCCAGGGTGTCTTGGAGTCCAGCCCTGCTCTGCCCCCCTGGGATGGGATTTTCAGGGGACCCTTACTTTCCGGGATCACATGTGGGCATCTCCTCCTCTGCAGGGAGAAGTTGGTCCTCCAGGTCTACCTGGGCCCCTGGTGAGTGTCCCCGGCTGTGGGGGTGGGCAGCCCGTTTGCAGTCTGGATGGGAGG